CAGACAAAGCTGACATACTTTCACGCTGGGCTGAACACTTCAACAAACTGCTGAATAGAGAGTCACGGATGAACGAAGAAGCCATTGAGTCCCTCCCCCAGCTGCCAATCAAAGAGGAAATTGCCGACCTATTCACAAGAGACGAGGTTGCAAAAGCCCTCACGTAGACAAGGTCTGGAAAGGCTCCTGGGGCTGACGGAATTCCAGCTGACGTCTACAAGAACGGAGGCCAGGCACTCGTGGACAAACTGGCATCCCTGTTCCAGGAGGTTTGGAAAGTTGCCAAGGCCCCCCAGGACTTCAAAGATGCTGCCGTCGTGCACATCTATAAGAGGAAAGGCGATAAGACCTCATGTGACAACTATCGAGGCATATCCCTCCTCTGCATCGCAGGCAAGGTTTTGGCCCGAGTCGTCCTCAACAGGCTAATCGCATATGTTGCGGAGGCCATCGTCCCTGAATCTCAGTTTATTTTCCGGGCAGGCATGGGAACTACTGACATCGTTTTTGCTATTAGGTAGTTGCAGGAAAAGTGTCGCAAGCAAAACAAGGAACTCCACATGGTCTTCGTAGACCTAACTAAGGCATCCACACCGTTAATCGGGAAGGCCTTTGGAGGATCCTGGGAAAATTTGGGTGTCCAAAGAAGCTAGTCTCTCTGGTAGCCTCCGTTCACGATGGCATGCAGGCAAGAGTCCAGGAAAGTGGGGAGACATCGGACCCATTTCCCGTGAAGAACGATGTGAAGCAAGGTTGTGTTCTTCCCCCACTCTCTTCTCCATCCTGCTCCCAGCGATGCTGCTCGACGCCTTCCGTGACTTCGACAAAGGGGTGTACATTTAGTTCCGCACTGATGGAATGCTCTTCAACCTCAGAAGACTTCAGGCCAAGACCAAAGTCTACGAGGCACTCCTGCGTGAAATTCTCTTCGCAGATGACTGCGCACTAGCCGCCCACTCCCATGAAGACATCCAGTGCATAACAGACCCCTTCGCAACTGCATGTGATCGCTTTGGGCTGACCATCAGCCTGGGCAAGACTGAGATCCTGGTCCAGCTTCAACCATCCCAGATTCGTGACACCTCACCACCACCTCCTGTCATCATTAACCACACCAACATCAAGACTGTGGACAAGTTCTGCTACCTTGGCAGCACCACCAGCAACAATGGTTCCCTGGACGCAGAGGTAACGCTGCGTATTGCAAAGGCCAGTGCTGCTTTTGGCAGACTAAAGAGAAGACTCTGGCAGGAACACGGCATCAAGATCGTCACCAAAATTGCTGTGTACAGGGCTGTGGTCCTGAGTGTTCTGCTGTATTGCTGTGAAACCTGGAACACTTATCGCAGGCACATACAACACGTGGAACTGTTCCACCAGCGCTGCCTGAGAAAAATCCTTCGCATCAAATGGCAGGAGAAAGTGTCCAACCTTAAAGTCCTTGAAAGGTGTGGACTCCCCAGCATTGAGAGCTTGATCATTAAAGCTCAACTCCGATGCAGTGGAGGCATCTATGCTCCCAGGGCGTTCGGAACTTCGAAGCCGGTAGAGCAGCCGCCATCAAGGAGAAGAGGGCCCGAAGGAAGTAACGCTCTGCCATTCTTGTCTCGTACCCCTGCAGCGTTTGCGGACGTTCGTGGGCATCACAAATTGGCCTCCATTCACACATGAGGTCCCACTCTCGCAGATTGACCTGCATGCCTACTCATCTGTCGCCCCGACAGGAGAGTCCAAAATCATCATCATCAGAAAATTAAATTGATGATATTTTGAGAATTGTGTTTGACTGCGCTAGCTTTAGATAGTATACAGTCCCATAGAGAACCGGCGGACGCATAACTGCTTTGTGCTAACGTGCAAAGAAGAAATTTGCTACATCATTAAAATGTTCAATAAATACTTGATTTTAATCACCTGCTGTTTTTATTGCAAAATATTGAATTCTGTTCATACCCAATAAAATATGAAATGCAAATTTTTATTTTAGCTATGACTGACGTAAACACAAAAAAGTTTTGACTTGGAAGCTTTATGCCAATAAACCTTTCACAGTTTACTATTATTTATTTCAATTATTGAACATCCGGACTTACATGAGAACTAACTGAAATAGTCATTAAGGAAGACGGGCAGCCAGCCTTTTAAAAGTAAGATAGCTCAAAAATTAAAGATTTACATTTTAGGAAGTCAAGACAATCGATAAACAGAGCTTCTCTAAAATTCTCAGCGTTCCAACTTTGAAACGTTGTCAATGAGTTTTTGTCATTTTGTAATTTTTTGATACGGATAAACAAATAATCTGATCAGGGGCGTAAGAAGCAAGTAAAATTGGGGGGAGGAGCTTAAGATTTCAGGGGCAATCGTTATTTAAGAAGGGAATATGAGAGTAATTAATCTCGAAGTCTCTAATTTAGAATAATTTTGTCACATCTCAGTAATCATAGATACTACAAAACTGACAACGTTTGGACTTGACACTTCATCATGCAAAAATTTGTCTTTTTGTGAATCCTTGACGCAAACAAATTTTTTAAATAGTCTATCTTACAGCGAATTGAACAAAGATAGACCAGAAAAAAATCACGTGTACTATCACGTGAAGAAGTGAGCTTTTTACTCCAATTAGGCGCAATTTCTAAAGTCATGCCTAGCAAAACGTTTTTATGTCATCATCTGTGTGACGAATAAGATAAATACATAGATGACTGTATAAACGAAGAAAAAAATTCTTCTTGATAAAAGCAATGTTAGATAAAGTTAAATCATTCCGCATTTATGATGTGCATAACTGAAATTCTATGACGTGTCATGATTTTGATTCATTTTGTTGATTTTTAGCCTCGCCGTACCAATGATATTTGAAAAGACTAGTGAAATTAATTGTTGGTGATAATGTAAGAAAGGTCAGTATTTTGAAATGATAAATTATCCAATGTGTTATTGGGAAAATCCCACCAAAATCAACGGATGTATCAATATAAAACATATGAAGTGTGAGTTCCACCACGAAAATGACATTCAGGTTTTTTATGACAAATATAACAAAATTCTAGACATAAGAACAAACAATTACACTATGATAGGTGAACTTTATAATCAACATACCTTAACAAATTTAGAAAGATTAAAGAAGACGCAACCATCTACATGATGCCCTTGCTTCTGCTTGATAATAAAGAAATTGGAATGTTCAATAAATGTTCAATTTTAATCACCTGCTGTTTTTATTGTAAAATATTGTATTCTGTTCATACCCAATTGAATATGAAATGCAAATTTTATATTTTAGCTATGACTGAAGTAAACACAAAGAAGTCTTGACTTGGAAGCTTTATGCCACTAAACCTTTCACAGTTTACTGTTATTTGTTTAATTATTGAACATCCGGACTTACATGCAAACTAACTGAAATAATCATGAAGGAAGACGGGGCAGCAAGCCTTATACAAGTAAGATAGCTCAAAAATTAAAGATTTATAATTTAGGAAGTTAAGAAAATCGATAAACAGAGCTTCTCTAAAATTGTCAGCGTTCCAACTTTGAAACGTGGTCAATGAAGTTTTGTCATTTTGTAAACTTTTGATACGGATAAACAAATAATCTGATCCGGGCTGTGAGAAGCAAGTAAAAGTTGAAGGGCTCAAGATTTTAGGGGCAATCTTTATTTAAGAAGGGAATATCAGAGTAATTAATCTCGAAGTCTCTAATTTAGAATAATTTTGTCACATCTCAGTAATCATAGATACTACAAAACTGACAGCGTTTGGACTTGACACTTCATCATGCAAAGTCTCGTCATTTTGTGAATCTTTGATGCAAACAAATATTTTAAATAGTCTATCTTACAACAAGTTGAACAAATATAGACCAGAAAAAAATCACGTGTACTATCACGTGAAGAAATGAGTTTTCAGTCCAAGTAGGCGCAATTTCTAAAGACATACCTAGCAAAACGTTTTTATGTCATCATCTGTGGTACGAATAAGATAAAGAGATAGATGACTGTATAAAAGAGGAAAAAATTCTTCTTGATAAAAGCCATGTTAGATAAAATTAAAATCATTCCGCATGTATGATATGCATAACTGAAATTCTTTGACGTGTCATGATTTTGATTCATCTTGTTGATATTTAGCCCTGCCGTAACAATGTTATTTGAAAAGACTAGCGAAATTAATTGCTGATGATAATGCAAGAAAGGTAAGTATTTTGAAATGATGAATTATCGAATGTGTTATTGGGAAAATCCCACGAAAATCAACAGATATATCAATATAAAACTTATGAAGTGCGAATTCCACCACGAAAATGACATTCAGGTTTTTTATGACAAATATAACAAAATTATAGACATAAGAAGAAACAATGACACTATGATAGGTGAACTTTATAATCAACATACCTTAACAATTTTAGAAAGATTAATGAAGACGCAACCATCTACATGATGTTTTTGCTTTTCTTGATAATAAAGAAACTGGAATGTTAAATAAATGCTTGATTTTAATCACCTGCTGTTTTTATTGTAAAATATTGAATTCTGTTCATAACAGCGAGACGATAAAATGAGATGAGCAAATTTTATATTTTAGCTATAATTGAAATATACACGACAGGGATTGATTTTGAAATTTTATTGCAAATTTAATTTCAGTTCAACTCAATCAACTCATAAATGTTGTACACATTTAACTATTATTAATTTTCAGTATTGACATGGGTGTACGGGACAAAAACATCAGGATGCGGACACTATTTTGCTCGACGAAAGCAGAAATCCTTTACATATAGTGTCGTAGTTAGACATGAAGAAAGACATGAACTTCTGGGGAGCATATTTTCTAACGTCAAACGCGTGAGCCTTTCTAGCGAGGTCTATAAAGTCATGCTCACCCTTGGAAGATTTCTAAATCCCATCTAATCCCAAAAAGGTGATTACGATGACTTGGTATAAGGGTTTGATTATAAAATCTTTGATTGGCTAATCTATAATCAAAACAAATATGGCGGATTCAACTCTCGTCTTTCGTCTTTCAAAAATCTTAATTGACGATATATTTTCTTATTTGGAACAACAGAATGTTATGTGTTAGGATTGTAGATGCAGATTTTTACGTGGGAAAACCTATAGATGGCTTAGATATTTTGTTTTCTAAATTTCGCGAGGCGAATGTTAACCGTGTTCCAGTTTTGAGGATATTTGGCTCAACTCCTGGTGGACAGAAAACTTGTGTTCATATTCATCAAGTATTTCCTTACTTATACATACCTTACGATGGAACTAAACCCACAGATAAATATCTGAAACAATTTACGACAAGTGTAGACTTTGCTGTTCAAGTTGCGTTTGGTAGAACATCATCTTCTATGAAATATGTTCATAAAACTGAAATTGTTAAAAAAATGTAAGTTATTTTCCTTGTTTTCTCCTCATGTTGACAAAGCTTACTATTATTAAATCTTTTTTACTCTCTTCTTTACATCACAATACAAAATCTTCCATTTTCGACCCAATAACGTTTCAATATTATTCACCCAAAATGATTTTATTTTTAGACCATTTTATGGTTATCATGAGAACGAAGAAGAGTTTATTAAGATGGAGTTGTACAATCCAAGAATAATTCCCAAGTAAGATATATTTTTCATGTTGTTCTAACATAAAACGACATCAAAATTTTTCATTTTTTCAGACTTGTTGATCTTCTTCAGAATGGAGCTATATTGAACAAGTCATTTCAACCACACGAAGCTCATGTTCCTTATATTCTACAGGTAATTATTGTTTTTTATTATTAATGAGGAAAAACACATCTTTGATTGTTATAACCCAGACTGGAGTGGTTAGTTTGTAAACTGTGCACCAGACAGGGGCAAGGCCTGCAAAGTTTGTTGTTTATTTCTTTAGAAATTAATCTCATTCATTGTTTTTCAAAGTAATTGATTAAAGCAATATTTGTATTGTACATAGGAGTAAAAAATGGGCTGACTTTTCTACCGACATCAGAGATGCAACATTTGCATGTATAGGTGCCCACTTTGCTATAATTATACATCAGATCTCAGGTGCCCAATAAAACATTCCATTATGGATTATAGCTGTAAATTTCATGTGCAAAACATTTTGTCAATAAAGTGAATGGTTTGAACACATTGTGGAAGTATAGCTGCATGTTTGTTGATGTTGATCATAAAGGATACTACAGTATTGAGAAGGACTGTTGGGGTAGTCTTGATTGATGTTTTCACATCTAGATGAGATGATTACTGGTAACAATGTTAAAATGTCATTCAACACTAATGCCACTGACCTTCTTTAGTCTTTTCCTACCTGGATGGTCAACTTCTATAGATTTTCACTAAGTTACATTATAAGAATTATATTGAAATATCGTTTATTTTAGTTTCTAATTGATTACAATCTTTATGGTATGAACTTACTTCATGTAAGAAAAGTTCATTTTAGAGGAATTTCTTCAAAAACAGGAAAGTTTCATTATTGATTTTTCAGCATTCTATAAAAATCTAACACCACAAATGATTATTTACCATCAAATTGAATTTTATAGATAAAAATCTTTCATATAATAATAAATCAATTCCACTTCATGGTTCATCTCCAAATTCATTTCTCAATTTTCCTTCATCTCAACACTGGAATGAAGACACTATTCCTAGGTTTGTCTGATTCATATATTTTACACTTGAAGATTAATTGAAACCAAAAGGATTTGTGTAAATCTTTAATCCTAAATTTGACACATGTGTATGATTTATCCCAAGATTTAGAGTCAATGCTCAATCCAGATTACAGAATTTACATTTAAAAATTAGTTTAACTTTGAAATAATTCTTTGTGATAACTATCTTTACAGTTGATATTCATCATTTTAATGTTTGTTATTTGTCATTATTTAGAAATTTATGCCTGGATCCTACTGTTAAAAAAGTCAGTCGTTGTGAACTTGAAGTTGATGTAATTGCTGAAGTCATCTTGAATCAAATAAATGTTGAAAGTAAAATTTACTTATCTTTATGTCTTCATTTTACTGTTTATACATCTTTAATGAGTTTATTATGTTTATGAAGGTTGTATTGGTCATAATCCTGGTATAACTGCTATGTGGGAAGATGAAAGACAACAAAGACGAGATATTGGACTATCTTCACAAGTTGCTCTTACTGTTTCACAAGGTAAGGTACAAAAAAATACATGTCACATCATATAACTCACAGTACATTTCACGTATTTTATATTGTCATGGTATTTATGATTTATGAGGCTCTGACTTATATATCCCAAAATGCAGCAGTTTTCTAGTGTATAAAATTTCATGTTTTCTTAAGTTTAAACATTGTCATCGTTACATGAAGATGTGTACAACTGCTCCTTTATTAATTTTCTTTTACTTAACAGTTAACAATACGTAGGTAAAAATTTAATTTTCTTTTACTTAACAGTTAACAATACGTAGGTAAAAATTCAACTTTTTTGTCTTTAGATCGTATTCAGTGTGCGAATTAGTTGAGAAAATACGATGTGCAATTTTTTTTGACAAAAGTGTTTCTTTAGAGGCATAATGACATCGATATTACGTTAATTATTACACAGCGGTAATTGCTAAATTAATATTTTTAAACGTGAACAAATTCATATGATTTACGACAGTGTTTTTCGTTACAACCGCTTATCCAGTTACAAATGTATGAGAGAAATTTTTTGCGCATGTTATTCTTATCTCTTTTTTGTGCAAAAGTGATTTGGCTTATTTAAGTTTTTTTGTCTTCTTTTAAGAATCAAAATCAAAATGTTTCCTGATTTTACCGAAAATACTGAAAATAGCTATGATGTCAAAAACAGTACGTAACGGTTTATAAAACAACGCAAATGCAAAAATTGACATTAATAATGTACAGTACCGCTCGCGTATTTGTTAACATACGCTACGCGTATGATACGCGTATCATACGAAAAACATACGCGTATGACACGAGAACGATACGCGTATGACACGAGAACGATACGCGTATGATACGAGAACGATACGCGTATGATACGAGAACGATACGCGTATGATACGAGAATGATACGCGTATGATACAGAACATACGCGTATGATACGAAACGATACGCGTATGATACGAACGATACGCATATGATACAGGAAGATACGCGTATGATACGAGAATGGTACGCGTATGATACGAGAACGATACGCGTATGATACGAGAATGGTACGCGTATGATACGAGAATGATACGCGTTTGATACGAGAATGATACGCGTATGATACGAGAATGATACGCGTATTATACGAAAAATTATGTTAACAAATACGCGAGCGGTAGTGTATTACACCCCTATTGTCATAAGCATATAAGCACCATTTATGATGACTGTTGACAGACTTCCCAGTCTGGTGAGCTAACGTTTTGAATTTTAGACATTGGTATTAAGCGTGTTTAATGTATTGCAACACTCGTTTATAAAGTAAAGATCAGTAAAGATTAAGCTTAAAAACTTTTTTCAATTTATGTGGTAGTAAACAATAAAGACGTTTTTTGCATATCGTTTGAAAAAGTGATATGCAATTGTTTTCATTTTAGCAAAAACTTTATTTTTACTTTATTGTTTATTGAGAAGGTAGTGATGATGAACATGATGAAGATATTGATGAAGATAAAGAATCAATATTAATGTTACAGCCATTTTGGAAAGATGATGAAGAGGAACATGATTCCCAAAGGTAAAAGTATCCATTTTTGTATATAAAATAAAGGCAGAAAAATGCATGCGTTGATTTGTCTATAGTTGAGTTAACATTAGAAAACTTGGCATGAGCGAACCTATCTGATCTCAATCAATTACAATCAATCAAAGAGAACTTCCAAATCAATCATGAATACATGTTACAGGAAAAATTAAAACATTTGTTTTAAATTTGCCTGTTTTGTATTATCGTTGTTTTATAAAAGAAAGAAAAAATGTTTTTCGTGTTTACACAGGCTTATGCAAACCTCGGAGACGTTTGTGAGAACTTTGGAGCAGGTGGAAGCCTTTGACTCTGGTCATCACTGAGTTCTCCAAAAGGTCTCCTTGCTTTTTCATAATCCTGTGCAAACACTGTAAACATCTTAAATGAAAAACAATCAATCTTCTCTAAAGTTTTGAGTAGCTGTCTTCTTCACTTGCAGTTCGAGGATGAAGAGGAAATGGACTGGAAACCACCTTTACGTATGCCTCAAGTGGATGGTCCTGTTGATGACGAGGACTCCGGGGACATGTGTAGTCAATCAATTTCCTCCTTGAGAATCTCGAAACACTAAACACGCGTGTCTGCGTGTAATCTCGCGTATCTGGATGTAGATTTGGCTTTAATTATTTGCTTCAGGTAGCACCATGTTCATTAAGACATAAATCATCTTTGTTTTATTTGTTTAATTCCCACACAGGCAGAAAGTTCTCTCTCATCCTAAATGTACAGCAGCCGTTCGACAAACATCATTTAGTAAAGATGGAAGGTAAATTTTACATGTTACGTTTCATCTCACGGGAACAATTTCTTTGTTTACCCATGTAAAATTATTGTTTTTTGAACATTTTTCAAAGTCAAGGAAAGCATGTGAAAAGAACATAGATAACATTTTCATAATGATAAAATAACATGTTTTTCTCATTAAAACTTTCACTTTGCGAAGATATTTTACTATTTGTTTTCCTGTGGCACCAAACAACACTTGTTTTCAAGTTTTGACCAAACAACACTTCTGAAAATCATGTCTGCCTTAGTTTTCAGCAAAATGTTTTATTGCTCGTCCGTGTGGTCAGGCCACCACCAACAAAATATGACAAAACTTCAACTGCTGCTGAACTTTGCCTGCAAAATCGTTAGGGCAAAACTCGGCCATGTTTACTCTTGCGCCAATTAAACTGGAAGTGTTCAGCAGTGTCACAGACTATCGGGACTTAGTCTTGACGTTGTAAGATCTTGAAATGAATATCTCTGCAAAAGTTCCATAAGAGTCCTCACGATCAGACCATAAATGAGACCTATTTCAAATTCCGAGGTTCAGAATATCAACGGGCCAACGCACATTTTCATATAGGGCAGTCAAATTGTGGAACAATTTAGACAGAATGTGAAAAATTCCCGTCTTGATTCTTTTAAGAAAGCTTTAAAAAAGATCTTTTGTAGTTCCCATCTTGTAATGTTTACTTTTTATCTTTAAAATGTTTTAATAATAGTCTTTTTTACAAACATTTATAAGTCAAATATGTATATGTTTTCAATTTTGTAAATAGCTACTGAAAAGCCCTATAAGGAGTAACTATTGTTAGTCATTAAAGTTCATTAAAGTTCATTTTTCATTTATCTACCAAGATCCCATTTCCAACGCGACATTAAAAGTGACCGTTTTCGTTCATTGGTCATTGAGAAAAAGGTTTCTTGCGAGATTTTAGAGTTGATTTCACAGTATTTACACCTTGTAAATTGTCAAATTTAGAGCAAAGTCCATTATGACTACATGGTATCATTTGCCATGAATATTTAACTTTCAACAACATAGCGGTAGTCATTTGACTTTGTATTTCTATTGAAGTAAAACACACGAATTTAAACATGTTAACGTTTCTTTAATTGACGTCATGTAGGTATTATTGTGATTGCTCCTTAGAACATAATCACCCACAAAGAACAGTAATCCTTCAATGCGCTTTTAAGGCCTGTTTCAAACATTGTATTTTACATGTGCTGAATGTATTTAAGACAAAAGATAATAAGGAATTTTATCTCATTATCTTTTCTTTTAAATGCATTTAGGAATTTTATCTCATTATCAAATAAGGAATTTTATCTCATTATCTTTTCTTTTAAATGCATTTAAAAGAAAAGATAATGAGATAAAATTCCTTATTATCTTTTGTCTTAAATACATTCGGCACATGTAAAATGCGATGTTTGACGGCCTTAAAACGCATTGAAGGATTACTTGTTGTGTTTGTGAAAACATTCAAAGAGCCAATTAACGTCACATTTCGATTGACTGTTAAATTCGTGTGTTTACTTCAACAATCACTTTAACGTTGTAGGAAGAAAGGTAAATTCTGTCTTTTACTGACGAATACTGAAGTATGAGTTACATGGAATAATGAACTGGTCTTAGTGTAGGCCTCGTAATTTGAAAGCTTTCACTGTAGCTTTCATCACGATTATAAGTCTTTGATCGTGTGAAACTTGTTACATCGTTCAAACTCAACTCACTAAAGCTATTCGTGCAATGAAGGTGAATGTTCTACCGTTTAAATAGTCAAACAGAAAACATAACAATTTGCTCATTCTCAATATATCTGATTAAGAATTTAAAACGCAAACTAACGTCATATGCAGAGTTATTCATCATGAAATCTCATACATGTGTTTCATATTTTCTTATATTGTAGATCCCACAAGAATGGAGTTGTAGTCCTTTACCACCTGTGTCATTCACTTCAATTACTCTTACTAGTTTGTCATTACTCATGTGTCATGGTGATTCATGTCCAAGAATGTTCATTTGTAGTTTGGATTCTTTGTTGATGTCAGTTGTTTGTTCATATAATGATGATGGGCCCCATTGTTATATGAACCCACCTAAAAGTGGTGAACTGATACTCACAGAAGATCAACTCTGCACTAAGCATTCTTTGAGTAATGATATAACTAGGGTATTGAAGGGCGGTCGCTTTTCCTTCGCTTGAAGTTACCATAACAGTGCATTATGAATTGTAGTCAATCGAAATGGCGATTCATCATATCAGTAGCTTCTTTATTGGTTGATGATGCTCCTTACTTCGTGTATGGAATGGTAGCGACATGTTGAATGGACATCGCATAACGGCATATGTACGTATGAACATTTACATTGAAGTGATTGCACTATAAAAATGGACTACATTCTACGAAGATGGAAAACAAGCGAGTGGAAAAACACGATCTATATCTTGTGGTTTGTAAGTTGAGTAGATATAAGTGTTAAAATTAACTTGTATGAGTAACTGCATGAGATAGTTAAAAAGGATCCTGATGGTCTATCTTTATAATTTGAAACTTAACCATGAAAACACCCAACTTAAAAAAGTGTCAATAAAAGATGTCACTTGCTGTGAGAAAATAGCTGGCTTTCACTCGCTACTTTTTAGTAATTTTATTTAACGTTTATTAAGAAAACTGCAATGATGCAAGTAGGGTTCATTGAATTACTAAGATAAAAATTTTACAATTAATTTCAACGATACAACGTAAAAACTACGCGATGAAAAAAGGAGGAAGAGACCGACCAAGTCGCCTGGATCAAACTGACCAGGACAACCCTTGGAAATCAGGTATTAAAGTTTTGTTCTTTTCAATATAATTAATTTCTGTTTTTGTTCCTTCATTATGCTGACATTTATAACGTGTTTTTTTTTTAGTAGCTTTGTCTGTAGGCCTTCTAACTGAACAATGAATGAACGACGAAGTCGGGCAGAAACACCAAGAAACAAGCGTCGTTATTATAAGATGCACACTTGCTAATTTATTTATCCATAATATCTATCAGTATAACGCAATTTCAAATTCGACCGTTAAAAATTTCCGTATAACTAAATGTTCACAATTGTTAAATTTTCTGACAAAACACACGAGTGAAAGCCAGCTATTAATTAATGAGGCAACATAGAAAATTTCAATGGAATAAAATCTAGCAGACATCAAAAATTGTTTTTGTGCAAGTCATAACGTCTCTTTAGTCGTTTCATTTTTAATTATTATGGGCAGGTGAATGGTCAGGTCCCTACGTACTGAATAATTTTTATACATGATTTATATATAGCTGCTATTAGTTTTCGTTTTTCGTCTATTGATTACAATTTTTGTTAACACTCTGCACTATTTCATTTTTTGTGCTCTACAAAAGTTTTCGTTTCTTTTGTACGAACAAAAAATATTTGCTGTCAATAGGGTAGTCAGCCCACATTTTTATTGCTTCGTAAAATTAAATTTTTTATACGACTGTATAAGACGCACGATCTGACTACGCTGCATGTTAAAGTAGATCATCGGGATCATTGAAAACAACAAAAATATAAAACATCATAAAACACTACAAAAATTTGAGGAAATTCTTCTAAATTTTTATTTTTCTTTTTATTGGAGGGTTTTACCGGATCCGCCGGTTTCCTCCATTTCGTTTGGTTTGGAAAAAACAGTGTCCACATTTGGGGCCAAGTGAAGACATTTGTCATAACATTATTTATCGTAGTTATCATGAATATTCACGTTTCTTTTCATTTCTTGGCTTTGGGTACATCCCAACACTGCGTTTATTAAATACAATGCATACATTTTAAAAATTGCGCAATTCATACATGTTGGTAGCCTGCAATTATTTAGCTACTGAATGAAGTAGATTTAATCAACATAGTCAAAACTAAATTATATATTTAATATTATTTTACGTCAAACTTTTTCAAGATTTGAAAATGCCATTTAGTTTTATGATCAAGTAATTTTTCTAACCCTGGAATCAATATTTTACCAGTGATTGCAACGGATGGAATCTGATGCAATTGTTGAAGATTAGTGCAGAATTCCAGAGTATCGCATAGATTTTTGTCTTTACAATGAAGGAAAGCCTACACCGAAGAAAGTCATTAAAATGCTTGATGCATCCTTCACAAAATGATAACGAGCACGTAACGTGAGAACACTTGACCAAATT